TCCCCAGGGCTCAGTACTGGGGCCAATTCTCATTAATATCTATCAGTTATCTGGATGAGGGAATTGAGTGCACCGTCAGTAAGTTTGCAGACAACATCAAGTTGGGCAAGAGTGTTGATCTGCTTGAGGGTAGGAAGGCTCTACAGAGGGATCTAGACAGGCTGGATTGATGGGACGAGGCCAACTGTATGAGGTTCAACGAGGCTCAGTGCCGAGTCCTGCACTTGGGTCACAACAACGCTCATGCAATGCTACAGGCTTGGGTAAGAGGGTCTGGAAAGCTGCCCAGTGGAAAAGGACCTGGAGGTGTTGGTCAATAGCCAGCTGAATATGAGCCAGCAGTGTTCTCAGGTGGCCAAGAAGGCCAATAGCATCCTGGCTTGTATCAGAAATAGTATGGCCAGCAGGACTAGGGAAGTGATTGTCCCCCAGTACTCAGCACTGGTGAGGCCGCGCCTTGAGTACTGTGTTCAGTTTTGGGCCTCTCACTACAAGAAAGGCATTGAGGTGCTGGAACGCATCCAAAGAAGGGCAACGAAGCTGGTGAAGGGTCCAGAGCACAAGTCCCGTGATGAGCAGCTGAGGGAACTGGGGTTATTGAGCCCAGAGAAAAGGAGGCTGAGGGGAGCCCTTACCGCTCTCTACAACTACCTGAAAGGCTGTAGCCAGGTGGGTGTTGGTCTCTTCTCCCAAATAACAAGTGATGGGACAAGGGAAATGGCCTCAAGTTGCACCAGGGGAGGTTTAGACTGGATATTAGGAAAAACTTCTTCACTGAAAGGGTTGTCAAGCACTGGAACAGGCTGCCCAAGGAGGTGGTTGAGTCACCACCCCTGGAGGTATTTGAAAGATGTGTAGATGTGGTGCTCAGGGACATGGTTTACTGGTGGACTTGGCAGTGCTGGGTTAATAGTTGGACTCCATGATCTTAAAAGTCTTTTCCAACCTGAACAATTCTATGATTCTAATCTATGATTCTATGCTACAATAAATCATCTCTGCAGATTAAAAAAGGGCTATCCCAGAAAACACAGTGACCCAGAAGTTTACAATTTCTTCCAGACATCACCTATTTAGCTACACATAGTTCTTTATATTTACAGCCCCTTCTATTGCTCTGCTGGGAGTAGTAACCTGAATATGCCAAGAACATAGTGGGAGCCTGGTAAACATGGACTAAAATTACTCCAGTGCCTCATCGCTGCAATGGTTTAACAAGTGCTACACAGGCACAGTGTCACTAATACCACTGATAATCAGTTAAGCTCATCTTCCTTATCCCCCTTCCATAGCCCCTTTTTCCCCAAGGACAGGTAAAAGTCATCTTCTAGTGGCTTTTGAGACACTCACTACTCAGCCATTTCAATAGACAAGAATTCCCATGACCCAGAAAGCATTATTTTGACAATTCTCAAGCTGTTTTGAAAATACAAAAGCCAAAATCTAATACGTGGATATTTGCAGAAAGATCCATGTTTTTTTGCATTATTTAAAAAAAATAAAAATCTATCTGCCACAATGTCATTTTGTCTATAATCAGAGACACATTATATATACTCTAAAACTAGTGTTTGGCTTGCTAGCCTAAGCTAGGTCCTCAAAGTACTAAAAAAATAACCCCAAACCAACACAAAAACCCCCACCCACAAACCCCTGTGGTTTCTCTAACAATAACAGGAAGGTGTTCTACAAGGCATTTTTTTTTTCTTCTCTCTTTTGATAACATGACTACATAGCCTTATCTGTCTGGCCAAGACCCATACAGCCACCAAAGCTGTTTTCTGCTTCCTGAACTGATGCTTTCAGATACCAAACTCTCACAAAGGCACCACTCTGTGGCTCGAGTTTTGAAAACTATTTGCACCCTATTGGCCTGATCTAAATTAGGAGCCTAGTTAACACTCCGCCTAGTTTCTCAGCACTGATGGGATGCAGATGGAAACCCGAAGCCATGCTGCTTGGAGTAGGTGAGGTTGGACAAACAGGAGCAAATCCCTCAGCGTTCAGAGATCAAAAAAAAGACTTAGTTGACAAGTTTTGGCCTTTTTCCAGAATGAAGCAGCTGCATCAGAGGGTGCTGCAGCCAACAATTCTGGATTTAAGCAAGCAGAACAGGTACTCATGCTATCTAGCTTAATGGCTGCCTAATGCTAGTGTTCTGAGTTTCTCACCTAAAGATAATTCATTATCTTGCCAACAAAGAATAGTAACTTAAAATTATTCAGGAGACCAAAGTGCAAAAATTCTACTCCTCCAAAGTCCTTCTAGGTCCTGTTTTAGGCACTAGACGCTTTCTTCTTTACCATGACTCTAAGCCAAAACCTATAAGCACTGCTAATCAATAGAAGTTCAGAGTTAAGAAAAGTGTTAAAGGAAGATGATTTAAGGTAAGGAATTCTAGATGCCAATTCTGCACAGAAGCAGGCTCATTTTTGTCTGTTTCTTTTCCAATGTCACCTGCCTTGAGTGACTTTATGCTTGGAACAAAAGAGCGTGCAGGAATACCACTGGGTCAGTTGTAACAGTTTGGACTGAGCTACTGCTTCATGCTGACAAAAGCAAATCCTACAGGGAAAGCAGTGAGGCAGAAGCAGCAGAGTAGAAAGATATATCAACATGCTTCAGCTACTGGAACTCTTGAAAAAGTACTGTATTAGGTCAGAACAAAGATCAGATTTGGTTTTATTCCTTCTGACAAGATACCAGTAGCAAATATGAAGCAGTAAAGTGGATAAGAATAAAACATTCCCAGACTGTTAATATCTCTGTATATTTTACAGTTAGAGGTAGACAGTAATTTAGGATATTTCTGAGTGGTGACTGCATTTAAACTAACATTTTTAAATATCATGTTCCACATAGAAGTCTAATCCTTTTGACCCTGTGATCCTGAAAAAAAAAGCCTCATAGCAGTGAGTTCCACCTACTACATTACAGTGTAATGAAATAAAAGTTTGAAACTTGCTGCCCAATCACTTCACAGAAATCTTAATTCTTATTAGCTATCAAACATTCCCAAATCAAAGTCATGGACAATGTCAAACTCATCCTCTGTCACATTTTAGTTTTCTTTTTTTTTTTAAAAAACAGCATTGAACATGGTATTGGCGAAGACAATAAACGCCCATTCTAAGTAGAGGCATAATATTTTTTGTTTTGTTTTGCTCTACATTTCTTTTTTTTTTCCCACTGTCATTGAGCCCTAACTTCACATTTGCAGAGAAGCATGCTGGCAGCAAGTTCTTCTTCCTTAGCAGAGTTTAGAACGCCTCAGTCTTCATTATTACACACATGATGTACAGTGATTTGCATTTATTAACACTAAGTTACACCTGGCTATTCAATATCAAGAGATCTTTCCAAAATTCAGTAAAGGAAGCTTCAGATTTAAAATATAGTACTTTCAGCATAAAGTCGCAGAGTCAGTCTTAAAAACATTCTTTGGATTACTGAGTCCAAGACCTTCCTATGTATAAAGCCCCATATTTCTCCCCATTCTGTGGCTAAAGCAGTTTGTACACAAAAATCTTTTACTTTATTACCTTATTCTTGCTTGCGAATTCTCACGAAAGTCGCAACAGAAGACCCCAGAATGACCTTCTGAATGTGACTGCTTTATATTAGCTTAGAGGGGGTGTGTACGCATGCGTCTGTGTCTTTGCTTTGCACTTAGTTATATATTTGAATGTAAATTGGTATTAATTAACGATACATAATGGTATATTTGGATTTACATTTTTTATATTTGGAAGAAAACCAACTCCTGATGAGCAACAGGAAGAACTGAGAACAGAAACAGAGGCCAGCTGGTCTCTTCTTCTTAGTGTGAAAGTGTTTTATATTGTGCCTCCTAAAAATGCAAAGTTTGACTACACAAAGTGGGCAATAGAAAAGGGTTACCACCATCACCATGTGTCTGATTTTGGGAGTGATCACTGCAGGGCTTTGTACTGTCCTCCTAATGTGTCTATGAGACTTTTAAAGAGAACATGACTAGAGATTTAAGGGTGGACACTCTATTTAAAAGATCTGAACAGTTTTAGGTGCAAAATAGGTGTCAACACAATTTGCTTAGAGACCATGACAGTTCCAAGTATACATGGAAGCTGATTTATAAGCATGTAAGAGACTTTGTGCCTTTTGGATTTTGCCAGCAGGTTCAGATGCCTAAGAAAATAGGACTGTGATCAATGTCAGATACAAGTATATTTAAAACCCTGTGCATAAACCATAGCTACCACATGAAGCACCCAAACTGCAGTCAGGAGAAACCAGTGCAGTATAAGCCCTTATCACAGCAAGAGAACTTCAATATCAAATCAGAGCACATTAGACCATATGCACGTTCCCATTTTTAAAACATAAGGCCATTCTCATTTTTAATGCAAGAGACACAGTACTATCATTCTTAAAAAAATTTAAGTATGTTTCAAGACTGAACTAATCACCACATCACTTTTAACTTGCATCTCCTATGACGCCTATATTGTAGACAGGCTATATAATACTATGACCTGTACAGACAGTTGCTAAAGCTGTGTATAAGACAGAAGATGAACATCTTAATATCCTTTTGGAAAACAGACATATGTATTGTTTAGTCTAAAATGATTTCACAGACCAAGCTGATGTGACAGTAATTTATTTTATTACTGCATGAAGAGTTAAAAGACTAGTACAATACTTAAGGTTGAAATTCAACCCTATGCAGAGGAACTAGTACAAGATTCATACACTACTAAAGTACTACTAAAGCACTGCTTCCAAACAGGCAATAAACAGACCAATACATAAAGCATCAGTGGTGCTAACAGTGATCCTAAGAGGAACTCTTCTTAGGAAAATAATCTTGGGAAATTCTCTTATGAAAGCTTTCACTCCCAGGGTTTGAGTCTACATATTAACTGCAAGAAGCATTCTCCCAGATATTTTTCTGGATTTAAGTGTAGAAACACATTGTTTTCTTAAGAAGCTGCCTTGAAAGGTGAAATTTTGAGAGAAAGATATCAAAAGATGGAAGGTTCGGGGGCAGGATAGAACTACAACATGATTTTCAGTGTCTTCAACATCAAGACAAACCTGTATTACAGACAACTTTGTAACACTTTACAAAATGTACACTATATATATGCATATAAACCAGTATTATTTCAATCGCTAAGTTCCTCCTCATCACTGAAATAAGCACTTTTCTTAATCCGTGGACGTTTCGAATCATCTGAAATTGAAGATTCCCCTGCAGTCTGCGTCCATCTCTGTTGTTCTTCCTCAATTTTGGCTTGCTACAGCGAAAGAAAGAAAAGTATTGGCTAGGATTAAGAAAAATTAAGATGCATTACAAATAACAATGCTAATAATTGATATGCATTGAATTATTTAATAAGTTAAAGAATACAAAGGGTTTATCTCCATTTCCAGATAAACTATGCGATGAATGCTCTAAAAAACATTTCTGAAAGTAGTTCTCACATGCAAACAGCAGGTCTTCTGCACCAATGCAGGCCACATGGAGTACCCTTGATTTTCAGAGACGAACTTTGCACACAGCAAGCTTACAGAACTATAGAGCAGCTGAGATGTGAGGCAAAGAATGCTCTGTGTTTTAAATTGACATTATTGAATCAGCTTTGTTCCACTAACAACTCTTCTGTCATCTTTTGCAGTCATTCATTCAGGGAATTAATGTCTTCAGGGATGTAAAGGTTACTCAACTGAAGGTTTAAATAAATGCTTCCTATTTTTACTGGGGAAACTTGCTATCCCAGTTAAAATCTTTGGATGGTTAGAGAAATGGGAATGTTTCCTGACTTGTTTACATTCAATCTGGGGTCTTCTGGGAGTGGGGGTAATTTTACATATTTGCATAATATTTTTAGACTACGTAATGTAAAAGTTTTGCACTCGTTATAGACACATTCAGGGCAAAGTTATCTTAAAAACTCTTGAGGGTTTTTTTTGGGGGGGCACAGGGGCACAAAGGAACAGCTGAGGACTAGGGAGCCAAGAAATTTGAACATCAAGTCAGGCTTGCTCTGTGTAGTGAAGCAAAAGCCAATACAGAAGTATTACAGGAGATAGTAATACAGCTGTCAGACTATCTATCTACATAAACAAAAAATGCATTAAATATGTTTTGAAAAAAGAGGTATATTAGAGACCGCGATGGACTGTATTAGTCAAAGAAATGCTCCAGAAATAGATGTTGTTTAAGGACTTTCTAGTGAGTGAGGGCAGAAGCTGTACCTGGTCATTTACACATGCCTGTTTTTCTGGCTGCTCAGTTAACACAGTAAAGAGGGAACTGTGGACCAAAAACCTAACAGAGCATCGCAGCAGAGATGACAGGAAACTAAGCAGCAAAGGAATTTGAAGGAAAAAAAAATGCAACGCACAAACACAGCAATAGTGAAACAGTAAAAAAAAAAACACAACAAGGAAACAAAAAAACAACCCTCCATGTTGCAGGCATGTTCAGTTGGGTTCTGAAGAAACCAACTAGACACCAACTACTGCCAGGCAAGAGTGCCACAGAGTGGACAGACCTACAGGCATATCTCAGAGCTTTTGAAAAGCAGCTAAAAAAAGAAGTAGAGTTGCATTTAAATAATAAAAAATAATAAATATGCAATGCTTCAATTTTGTACCTGAAAAGCTATGGCTTGGCTGAGGCTATCTAGAGCAGGGTCTTCTCCTTCCTCTTCACTTTCTTGTTCCTCCTCACTTCATTGTGCAGAGAGAGAAAAATATATAGAACTTTAAATAAAGTGTTCAGTATGAAAAAGCTTCCTAAAAGAAGTAGTAACATGTAAATAAATATACATACATTTCTTCTGGCTCAACTATTTTCTTTCTCTTCTTCTTTTCTTTTTTTTTTGGTGGCTCCCGCTCTCCTAGCATATTTTTAGGACAAGCATAACTTAAATGTCCTGCTTCCTTGGAGAAAAAGAAATATTGCTTAACAGAAACCATTACAAACAACTATATGTTGAAACATATCATGAGGAAAGTTAACGTAAGACAGTTCATGGGGAAAAAAATGGAAGCAATTAATAAGATAAATGGAACACTGAATTAGCACACAGAAGACAAACTCTTCTCTATAAGCTTGCCATGGAAACCAAGAGATTGGTGGTGATATGCATGTTTAACTGCAAATTGAGAACAAGCTATGAGCAAAGTAGATTTTCTTTAGCTGCTGCAATAGCTGAATACACTACAGCATGGTTTATGTTCAAGACAAAATATAAACCTCAGCATTAACAGTTTAAGAAACAGGAATGAGTCAACATTTTTGCTCTAAAAAGTGTTAGGAATATAAACCAAGTTTGTATTTGACATTAAATACTATCCAAATCTTAATCTCCTATGTTGTTATGTTCAGGAAAAGTGACAAATTGCTTACAACTTAAAACACATTTCTGTTTAAAAACAGCTGTATCCAATATTTATTTTGCTGCCAACTGTGCAATGAACTTCCAAAGATATAGCAGAAGCAGGTATTTTGAAGCAAAGATTAGGAGGTTTTCCTTCTCAAACAGCGTTATACTGATACTCAGATCTGTCTGCTCATCAGCATGTTAAGCAGCAATTATATGTCCATATTTTCCTCCATCTCCAAAATCCCAAATAAAAGACAAAAGAGGTACTATCATTCTTGAAAATGGTACTATTGCTATGCAAGTTGATATTATCAACAGAAAAAAATTAATTTAACATCATGGGCAAGATTAGCAATGTCCAAACTGAAGAAACAAGCTAAGAGTCAAAAGATGGAATATATTAGTTCATTTTTGGTTTTACTCACCCCACATTCGTAACACTTAGATTTATCAAAGTAGTTACGCCTACGAATGAATTCTGCTGCTCTTCCATTATCAATGGCAATACTTGCTTTTATTACTCTTCCAAACAACTACAGCAAATTGGGAAAAAAAAAAAAGGTAAATATTTTGGGACTGCAAACCCAACCCTCCTGCCATAACAACTTTCCACAATTTACCTGTTTGTTATTAAGTGCCCGAGAACAGTTTTGTGCAGATTCTTTATCCAAAAACAAAATAAAGGCAACTCCTTTGCTTTTCCTGGTGTCTTTGTCTTTCATAATAGTAACTCTGAAAACATATAACCACATTATTGATACACTACAATGACTTCAGATATTTTTTTTCCTTAAAGATCTTGGTGGGATCTTAGCTTTGTTATATAGCAAAGAAGGAAAAAGTATATTTAACAATAGAAAGGCTCACTAAACAGAAATTCAAAGGAACAGCTAACCTGGTCATGTGCTTACAGGTAGAGTGGAGATGATTAAAAAAAAGTATGTGGGGTCTTTCTGGGTCCAGTATTATTCTTTATTCCCTTGGATGACTTGAAGAACAGAGAACATACTCTTGAGATTTGCAGACAACATAACTGGAGGGAACTACACGTATTGGAAGTGAAATTAAATTTCAGGAGTAATCTTGACCATTGCTATTATTACGGAAAGACACGGTGTATTGAACTGCATTCAAACTGAGAAATCTAAGTTTGTGTAGGACTAACCAGCTAAACAGGTTCATGATAGGAAATGAAAGTATATGCAGTATTGTTCCACAAATATCTCCAACTGGAATCCAAGCAGGTCATGGATGCACGTATCATTTTACATGACATGCAAAGGTAAATCTTCAGTCTAACTTTGGAATCAATAGCTCCAGTAGCACATCAAGAAATTCAAGAAAGATTTAGACCCAGTAAAAACAACAGACAAAGAAAAAGAATGACAAGAGGTGAAAGGAAGGGAGAGGGGGAGACCCCACATAACCTCAATTCTTTCAATCTTAACACCAATTGTTTTCAGCTCTAAAAAAAGCCCACCAAAACCAGTCGGAAACAGGATGCCAGTCTGCATAGACATAAAAATAAAAGTACATGTTAAAAAGTAGGCAATAAACTCCTCCCTGTGTCCACCACAGGCAGAAAAAGGTTCAGTCATAAGGCAAGCCAAAATTGTAAGAAGCAATAGGACATTTTTGAAAAAAAAAAAAACAAAAAACAAACCAAACAAACCCCACTTCAATGCAAAGGCCTACCAGAGAACCTGTATAAGTAAGAGATGACTCACATAGTAAAAAGTGTATAAAATAAAAGCTCAGTAAGGAAAGCTGAATTTTCCCCCAAATACATGCACAGAAAGATAGAGCTTAGAACAGTTTTTCCACCAAAGCCTCTTGAACAAGGATGTGTCTAACTGAATGCACTGAGTTGAATTGTCAATGAAACTGACTTTAGAACAATTCTATTCTTTTGCCAAGTTACTCTTCCAAGAGTTCCAACAGAACCCTAATATGACTGTCAGGCTTCTAACTGGGATATTGAATGTACCAGTTAATAACACAAGCATAGAAAGAAACAGGTGTGATAAATCTTTAAAAAGTCAGCAACTGCTTGGAGCCCTAGAAAGTCTGATTTCTCACTGAACAAACTGAGCTAAAATCATAATAGTCAGGATATACTGGGGTGACAAATGCAATATGAAGAAAAATCAGCACGATTTTGTTGAGTCAAGACACACTTCAAAAAAAAGGTCTATTAAAGCTTATTTAGTTAAGTTAAAGCTGACCTAGATGACATCACAAAGCTTTCTGGAAAGTGTTTTAAAGCCCCTGAACAAACACTCTACAGAAATCAAGCTAATATTTGAAAATATTGTTGGGAATTAATAACTAGTTACAAAAAACTAGTTGCTTGTTAGCCTCAGTTTCACAGCAAAATGGGAATACCAGTAGACTCTCACAGTATCTGCACTGTTTATAGTCAAGTCAGCTTGCAAAGGGACAAACAGGAAACAAATTTTGCTAGATAAAAAAAAATCATGGTAGTATTTTACATATGGTATTCTATGACTCCTTGCATTTGGTTTACCTTCTGGTAGTGACTAGACAAAGTGTTAGGAATAATTAGGTATCAGTAAGTGAATTTTTTGCAAAACAATATATAGATGGGGAAAACAGTAACTGCGCAGATACATAAAAGTTCTAAATTAGCTACTTTCACACAGGATGCAGCACAGGATTTCTTCTGCATAGGCATCTGAGAATACCATTTCTGTTGTCTATGACAAAAAAAAGCAATTAAACACTAGAAACTATTAATAAAGGAAAAAAAGAAGAAAAAGAGAGAATGCTGCTATGACACCTTTAAAATAAGCAATGCATCATACAGCCAATACTTCATACAATTCTCATCCTTCTATTGAACAAGTTCAAAAGCCAAGACAAGTAGGAGACCCCTACCCCAAACACAAGGAGTTTAGGTACATTACCAAATGAGAGCAGGGATGTCAGAAGTGTCAAGTTTATGGAGAACAGGCCCCTCAACAGATATTAAACACCAGCGTTACTACAGCCGTTGCTCAGGATTTTTCTAAATTGGTAGTTCGGCAATCAACTAAACCAGGTCATACACCCCACCCTGGAAACAATAAAGACTGTAGCTGCCCAGTTGTATCGATCACTGCATGTCTGCCAGAGCCCTACACAGGAGTTTTCCTCTTGGTCAATTTAAAAAATACCTTTTCCTGAAGTTGTAGTTTGGCTTTTCTTGCTATTTGTCACCTGAAACACACTCCTGAGACTTCAAAAACTTTGAGTTTAGGTCTGTATCTCACAGATTATTACAGCAGCTACTAGAAGTTAGAGTAGATATTTGCTGGTGTAAGGTTGAAAACTAAAGTCTTGAATCTCGTTATTCTGACCAGTTGAAAAACAAAGAAACAAAACAGCAAGTTCCTTACTGTGGCATTTTTTTCTATCATTTGAACACAGAGGCAGGTACTCACAAGTACTGTTCATGAATACCCCACATAGTAACGGCTTTTAATATGCAGCCTTTTGTCTAATTTTAAATATAATACTAAGTAGTCACAATAACAAGTCCCTCTAGAGCCACAAATACAGGAATTGTAGGTTGCAATTGTGGGAACTGTGACATCTAGTTCACATAAGTAGAAGCTCCCACTTTTATACTTATCTACTTGTGTCCCAGGTAGTGTTAGGGGGACGGGGAACAACACTTACTAGAAGAATAGTTTCAAGTATTTCAGAGAAAAGACCATTGGTACATAACAACATTCTACTTGCTCTTAAGAAGTGGTTAGCAAAACCCGTTGCCAACACAAATATTCTTACATTATGCGTGTAACTGCAAGAACTTCCAGTTGTTAATTAAATTTATACTTTATTAAAAATGAACAGGACTTCTATACAGTTCCACAGTCATACTTGAATTATAAAAAGCACAAGACTTTCAAGTGAAGCAAAGACATTAAATATTTAAAGTGAAAGCTACAAAAATAGCAGGCCATATCAGGTCACTTACTTGACAACTTTCCCATATTTTGAAAATATCTGAAATATAAAACAAAATAAAAAGATTTAACAAGAGGCAATTGCATTTCATTAGTAATAAATTTATCAAGACAAACTTTTCTAAGAGATATATATCAGTACTGTATTTACACTCAAAATCATTGTCAACAAGTTTAATCTGCATAATGCAGCTCTTAAAATCTTACCCTGTATAGATCGTTGTTTGTCAAAGCAAAAGGTAAATTGGACACATACACCGTGCTTTTGCTTGGTGCCAATCCACCACTCATTTTTCTGATGAAAGAAAAAAAAAAGAAAAGAGTTAAATTGTATTCAACAGAGCAATGAATTATAAAACAGTTGCAAGAGTTTTAAAAAGTTGTTTTTCAAACCTAGCCAAGACAGTCCTGATAAAGTTGCAGGAAAGCATAGCTTTCATTTCCCTTTCATCACTTTACATGAAATTAGTGTTTGCCTTCATGTGCTACAGAAGACATACATTCCTTCCCCCTCCCCTGGATCCAAAACATATTTTTGCTGTATGCAAGTCAATTTGTAAGCCATGAAAAACCAGACAAGTTAATGTACTTAAAATAAGTCTCTGCTGACTTGTGCAGTTAAGAAAGGTTTGGGCCCAGAAAGAAACAAGTAATCTCAATTTATTAAACATTCTGGCCAACATGTGAAATCAATGACCTTTGTTCAAGTAGCTGCATGTTCTGATTCTTTATACCAGTTTCAGTTCAGCTGCATTCAACATAGAATAAACCACATTCAGTTAAGCTACGTTAAAAAAAAAAGCTTTTCTAAAGCAGAGTCCTACTTATTGGGGGGAAAAGGTACTGCATTGGCTTTAAAATGCCTCCCAGCTGCTAAAGCAGGAAGTATTTTGTCTTGTATCTATTGCTCAGGCTTCTGCACTGCTCTGGACCTGCAAGTGTCCAGAGCTGATCATAGATTGCATCTCCACTAGAGGCACTCACCCCACCTCCTCCTCCTCCTCCTTCTGATTAAGCAGCTCTATACTGGCAGGAACCAGGGAAATCTCAGACATTTTAATGTCCAATCTCTTTTAAGCTCTTGAAACTAAGTAGCCTAGAATATGGCTAGAAACAATGAATCAATTCAAAAACCTTGTTATAACTGCATACAAACCATCCAATAGTAGGTAAAGAGTAACTGAACTAACTTGAAAAAGAATAGCCTGTGTTTTTCCTCATGTTTGGACATTTCCCAAAATTTTAAGTGGTGCTAAAGCCTGTGCAAAACACTTCTTCCCTCCAATCCATTCAGTAGCCATGACTTGGTCCAAGAGCTAAGTGAGTAAAATTTAAGATCAGAATAAAGCACAACCCTTCTGAGAGGCAAAAACATTTCCTAAATAGTCCAATTACTACCTACTTATCCAGTTTCCTGCAGCCTTATTCCTGCTTCTTGGCACTTCTGGCTGATTTGTAACTGAGGATCAAGCCAGTTCTTCAGCAAGACCAAATCATTTAAAAAATGCAGACAAAAGCCGATGAAGGGATAAAAGAAACTAAAGTACTAAAAATCAACATCTGTCACAGTACACAGTTTCTTAGGGGACTTTTCGGGTAGTGAGTTTGAGCAGATTGCTTGGCCAAGTGCCAAGAAAGTAACTAATATCATACTCTAATCTGGCTGTGGTTATTTTCTGGCATTTCATGATCGAGTCATCTAAAGACCTGATATTCCCAGTAGACACTGATTATCCAAGTGTTTTGCTTCTCTTTCCTGACATGCTTACTGTATCACAATTAATTGGAGTGGCAGTTTCCAAGTGATTGAATTTTGAGGTTTTCTATGTTCAAGGCTGTTTTTTGGCATGAGCAGAAATGGCAACATAAAGGTTAAGCAAATGAAAACAGAATAAATTTGCAATAAAGGCCACACATTGCATCTGGTGTTACGCAGACTGGATTCATTATCCCAAATTCCTTGCTGCTTGGCATTAGTATCCTTGACAAGCCTAACCAGACCGACTTGGCAACACGCCACATGAATAGATGGCCTGAAGTGCAGTTATCCAGATGTATGGTGAATGCAAAGGATTCGGTAAGAGCTACCTCAGCGCTGCATTATGGTATATTGCCAATGCTAATACGTTGCAACAGCAGAGGTGAATGTCACGTGGCTGTAGATAGCAATTTAACTCTGCCTAAAAGACAAGAGACGCTAAAGCGCCTTGTGACAGGAGACCAAGCAGGCCCCATATTAATGAACAGATGCCAGCGAGGATGGCATGACTGGAGAACAGTCAGCTTGTGTATTCCGCAACACCACAGTGTAAACCTCCAAAGAGAAGTTTGTATGTCACGTGAAGATTACTACAGGCCTAACAGTTCAGTCGATAGGAAATTATTAATGACTGCAAGCTACAGAAACTGCCATTTTCAGCTGTACACTACTTTTTCCAGAAGCAACCTGAAAGACTTGCACCCTGGAGCACTGACTGCCAGACAGCTGAGGCTGAGCTTTGTTTCTAGTCCCCTGAACAAATGTAAGCGAACAGTCTTTCTGCTCTGACTGCCCAAATATTCTTAGCAATTTGTATTGTATAGGACTATCATGCCATGATTTCTTACTTTTAATGTCTGACTTGCCAGACAGGCACAATTTTAATAAAAGAGGCAGAACAGTAACTGTAAGGCTATCGCTATGCTTATGTTCAAGATGGCAAAAGTTCACATTTACCACTCCAGGAAAGAGTATTTCCCCAGATCTGCAGGAGGACTTCCTCTTGTAAATACCAAGGGGTCATTGGGATGGTTTATAAATATCTTATTTAAGCCAGCAGATACACTGACAGGTTTGCACAACAGCAACATTTGGACCATTCATCTATCTACTTAAAGCCTGGTCATCCTTTCAAAGTCTTCTGCAGAACATTAAAAAAATAATATTCTACCTAAAGCAATCTCTCAAAAAGCTTGAGCATGTTAAAATGCAGATATCTGGTTATCTGTTGTAAATACAATGATATAAATGCAATTGTAGATCCAACTATTGGCACACTTTTTCCTACCCCCATAAAGCTTAATAAAACATCACATTTCAGTTTTAATTCTGCTATAACCAATCCATTAGTTTGTGTTTTGGTTTTTTTAACACCACCATCAAGCCTCTGTGGGGATACCAAGTGCCAACACCATATGAACAATAGCTTCCCCCCCCACCCTTTCATTTATGGATGCCAACCTTGCCATAACCAGCTTCACATTTATTAGTCTGACATCTTCCAGCTGGGGGCTGGGAGGTAAAAAAAGTCAATTCCAGCTTTAAGTAACTCTGTAGATGAGACACAGCTCATATGGAGGCTCATCATTACAGGGCCCAGAGTCCTTTTACTTCAGGAACTTTCTAACTTCATAGAACTGTCCAATATAAGTTTAAGATTTTGATCATATTCTTCCTCCTTGATAACCAGTCTCTCTGCTCTGTAAGTTTTCACCTCAAAGGCTGAAAGAAAGAAGTAATTATCCACGCTTACCCAAAAAAACCCAACATCTGAGCTTTCTACTTGCTGCAGGGGACTCACTTGAGAGTTCTGTACAACCTGGCATCTATATCCTGCAAGATCTCCCCAATAAATCAAAACATTTCTGTTTTATATGGAATGTTTTTATGAGGCTTCCCTGATCTTCAAGGTATTACCTGGTTACCTAACTTCAAAGCATCAGCTGGAAGCCAGTACATTAACTCCATGGAGTTGAGCACAAGTCTCATTAATGTAATAGCCTCTCTGTAATATTAATGAATTCTTCATTTATTATTTTCACATACTAACTTTCAGGATGGGGTTGTCTCTCATTACTATGACTTCTTGAATTCAATCTTTTCTGTCTTTTCCAACAATTCAAACTAAAAGAAGCCATTCTTCAACAAAAGCCATCTGTCAGTAACGATTATCTCCTGAAAAATATACTGGGTACACAAGTATGTTTTGCTTGAATCCAATATGCTTAATGCGGCATTTGTCGCTCATGTTGAGAACATCACAAGCGAAGACAATGATTAATGTCAATAATTGGCTCTTCTACTCTGTCCCAGAACACATAAGTACACACCAAAATAGGTCAGATGAGTCTGAAGCATCAAGTAGAGTCTGAATTTACTGATATTTTCATGACTTAACATCAACATTTCAACTTAAACAGAAACTTTTTTGCTTGTTTTTAAGTGCACAGCAGCAAGGTCAGATCTGTGACTTAATCAATTAGGTATATATTAATGATTTGTGGGTAAGTTACGGAAGATATGCTCATTCAGGCCAACTATATTTTATTTCTGATTTAACATTATCAACAGAGCTTACACTCAAATCAACAAACCATTAGTTGTGGCAGGAGTTTGGCTCAAGGTTATAATCAAAAGTCTGTGGTAAAAGAGGAAACTGATCCCATGTTCTCCTTGGTTCCAGACAAGGGTATTAACCACTCGCTACACTTCTTTCCTACACAAAAGGCATGTAACAAACTATCAGAGCGGAATCTGTTTTATCTCTACATGGTCACTTAAATATTACAAGGCAAATATTAAACAGGATCAGAATTAAGTAAAGTTGACACCATCAGAAGAAAGAGCACAAGAGCCTTTCAATTTGCCCATGCCAAAGACGTACACAAAAAGGATCCATGGTCTGAATCAAACTACTTTTATGTACTTATCTAACTACAAAAACTTTGGGACAATAAGAACGGGCAACCAAGCTGCCAGCAGGAACTACCTTACAAGTTTTAACAACTGTTTCTTTTTAAGTGCATTTCCAGCATAGCTGTGAGCAGAGTTGCTTGGTTCGGTCACATCTAGTCTCACCCAGAACTTCACCCAGGAGGAGCAGGTCCAGGTAACTCACTTAGGGACGCCTCTTCCTCCTAAAAACCCCAGCTGAGACAAGCAATTCCATTTCAGAGCTCGATACGTGCAAATCTCTAAGGCAAGAGAACTACAGACTACTCAAAACCTTCCACACGTTGCATTAAAGCCTTTCGCTATGAGTAACGTCACCCTGTGGTTCCTCTACCACAGCGCAGCCCCGACCAGCTGCTTATTGAGCTTTGCCCAGCTGCTGCGCGGTGCCAAACCGCTGCTCCTCCGCCCACACCCACAAAAGCCAGAAGCGAAGCGAACCCCCTCCCCGGCAGGAAACAAGCGCTCCTGCCACCCACGGTGCCCTCGCTCCGGACGCCACCGAACCACGGCAGGGGGTTGGAGGGCCGGGGGCCTCACCCGCGCACCTGTTCCCCTCAAGGGGCCGCAGCCCCACAGC